GGTAGCGCCCGCCCTGTCCTCCTAGCTTCTCTCCCGCCGCCCGGCCAGACACTGCGCTGCACCATGGCGTTTTTTTACATCAACTTTAGTATTTTTACTATTATGAGACTTCCCTCCGAATTCCTCAATAAAAACGGCTTTTCAACTTCGTGGCTTGTTTTGCTTGTGGGGAGCACCCCGTCTGGGCCCTGACACCCAGACAGCTTCTGAGGCAGGTGACTCCCCAGCTCATAGACTTGCTGGAGGGGGTGTCCTGGTGGTCCCTGCCCCACCTGGCCCCATGCCCAGGGGTCATCTGACCGCCAGGAGGGACCCTGCAGGACCCAGAGCTGTCTGGGCCCCCCATACCCCCAGCAGAGCAGCCAGGACGGCGGGCTTCGGGCGCCACCTGGTGGCGAGGAGAGGAACCGCCACCCAGCCCTAAACGGGTCAGCGCTTGGCAGGCAGGGCCCAGAGGACCTGGCTCCTCACCTTAAGTGGGTGGGTGCCCCCTGCAGGGGTGCCAGGGTGCCCCGACTCCACGGTGCCCTGGGTGGGGGCGTCCAGTCCTCGGTGGCCCTCTTCCCTCGGCTTTGACCGGCCGTGGGTCACAGCACAGCAGTGACGCCACCACAAGCAGCAGGTCACAGCTGAGGGAGGCCAGGGTTCAGGGAAGAACCGCCCGTCAGCCGGGCCTGTGCCCACGGAGAGCAGCGAGGACCCTCAGGCAGTTACCACGACCATCCACCCAGCAATCCCACCTCTGCCGCCCCCCCAAGAACTGAAGGGGCCCCCAGAGACACTGCACCCACGTTCACAGCGGCAGCAACCTCAGCGTGGAGGTGTGGGTGCAGCTCGGTGTCCGGGACGAGGACCGGATAACGAGCTGGTCCATCCGCACACGGGAAGTGCGCAGCCTCAGGACGAGGACCGGATAAGGGACTGGTCCATCCACACACGGGAAGTGCGCAGCCTCAGGACGGACACGCGCCACCTGCTCCCAGAGGGACCGTGTCGTGCTGTGAACTAAGCCAGACACGGAACACGGGCCCTGCACTGGGGGGTCAGAGCCACTGGGACACAGCAGGTGGTGGCGCCGGGCTGGGGGGTAATGGGGGACGGTGTGGGGTGGGAGCATGACTGTGCCCTTACAAATGGAAGATGGTACTCTGTTCACACCCCGGGACAGGGAGATACAATGCACTGCAGACACAGGACATGCTGCCACACCCTTCCCTTAGCTTCAGGCTCCGAGCAAGCGCAGGTGTGGTATGCAAATGGGAGGAGCCTTCGGAGCTGGAGCCGGGGTGTCAGGTGGGGGCCGCTGGCCGGGCCAAGGGTGCGATCGGCTCCCTCCCACAGGACCCCTTTGTGCTGGGGTGGGGAGATGCCTTCGGGATAGTCCTCCGGCCTGGAGGCTTCCAGGTCACAGGCATGGACACAGCACCGTATCTCGTGTCCCCGCCCAGGCAGGACCCCCTGCAGCACTGTCTGGGGAGACAGGCACCTGGGAGAGAGGACTCCTGGGCACTGTGCGGCCAGGGCCAGGCCTGCTGACTCGTGGCCTGGGGCTGTCGGGCAGTGAGGGCCAGCAGGGGGAGTCCCTCCCGTGTCCCCACCCAAACCTGCCCTCCCCAAGGCCGGCTAAGTTGGGGGCCACCCAGGGGGTGTCACGGTGACATTTCAGGAGAAGTCTGGACGTTACCCACCCCCTCCCCGGGCTGCGCTGGCACAATGTCACCCGCTCTGGAGTCAGACGACCTGGGTTCAAAGCTTTCCTCACCAGGACTGGCGGGTGGACTGGTAGGTGATGCACTTGGACCTCCATTTCCCCGTCTGTAAAGTGGGGTGACCAGGCATGCAGCTTGCGCGCTCAGCAGGCGCTGAGTGAGCTGCCAGAGTGGCACGGAGGCCCTGCCTCCTCCGTGGGCCCCTCCAGCACCTGCTGGTCACAGGACCAGGAGGCCGCACCCCCAGGACTATTAACATAAGCAAGTCCTCTTGTCCAAATATATAGGATTTATTCAGTCATCAGTACAAAACATCCAACAGAAAGCTGTCTCCCCCACCGCCCCCCCAGGGTCCCTCTGCGCGTCCGCACCGGGAGGCCGTCCTGCCTGGAAGGCCACGTCCGCTGGGCCCTCAGGCCTCGAACATGGCACAGCTGGCACAGAGCACTTTCTCGTGGACGTCACTGCAGCTGCAACATCGCAGGGAGGAGAGAAGAGTGGGCGTTAGGGGCTACGCTGTGTCCCCCCGTTTACATATGGAGGTGCTACCCCTAGGCCAGAGACCTGACTGGGAGATGGGGCCGTTCGCTGCAGAGGTAGTGAGCTAGGACGGGGCCCCCTGCAGGCGGGTGTCCTGAGTAAACACATGGAGGAGGGGGATGACGCCAGGACGCGGGAGCCCCCAGCGTGCGGCAGCCCCGGGAGGTGGGCCAGGTGGGCCAGGAGTTCACAGCCCAGATGATCACCATCACGCCCCCGGACCAAGGTGAGGACCCCTCTCCCCGACTCCCCCCAAAACAACCGAACCAGGGTCCCCTGCCCGGGCCTGGGCCTCGGCTTTGACTGGCAAGGTCCCCTCTGGAGGGTGCTGATCAAGGCGGGAGGGAGGGCCACTCCCCTGTGCCCGGCACGGGAGGGTCGGGTCAGGTGGGGAGCAGGCCCTTCCCACGGCCTCTGGAGGCACCACCCACCACCCATCCCAGACTTCCCGCCCAGAGTGTGAGGGCAAAGACCTGCGAGTACGTGGACCGAGACAGCCAATGAGCTGCCTGGGGTCCAACCTGTGTGTCTAACGGGATGGAGGCCCCACAGAACCTCCCAGGAGTCCAGTGAGGGGTTACTGGACCACGTGGCTCACATCAAGTAAGGTAACGGCGAGGAAACCCAGGGATTCGCGGGGAAACTCATCAGAGGGGTCCCGCAAGGCCAGAGACTGGCAACGCGCTACAGCAGTGGTTCTCAACCTTCCGGCCCTTTAAATACAGCTCCTCATGTTGTGACCCAACCATAACATTATTTTCGTTGCTACTTCAAAACTGTAATGTTGCTACTGTTATGAATCGTAATATAAATATCTGATATGCAGGATGGTCTTAGGCGACCCCTGTGAAAGGGTCGTTCGACCGCCAAAGGGGTCGCGACCCACAGGTTGAGAACCGCTGGTCTACAGGAAACCAAGGAGGGCCGTGGAGTCCGAGCCGTCACCGAGAACTCAGAGCCACGGGCTGGCTGGTTCTGGCTGGGGAGCCACAAACCAGCCCCCAGCCAGCCCCACCGAGCTGTGAGCCCAGGACTAGGAGGTGTGGGTGGGACACGCCTGAGCAGCTGGCGAGGGGCAGAGGCTGTGGCAGAGACCATGGTCTGGTTCCCAAGCCTGGGGACGGCCGTCGGCCTCATGGCCTAGAGCAGAGAGCCCAGCCCTGGTTGTGGCCACGAGGCCCGAGGCCTGCTGACCAGGGGAAGGAGAGGCTGGCAGGGCATGTGCGGGGGTCCGGCGAGGACACTGAGGCAGGAAAAAGGTTCCAGCCCAGGGGTCGCCCTCTACCTGCCCTTCTGCTGGGCTCCTGTCCTCAAGCGAGGAGGCCACTGGCCAGGAGGCCCTGCCCTTTGGTTCACACACAAACAGGAGAACTAAGCGGTGCCACTCAGTTACGTTCATGTCTCCAGCCAGAACCAGCCACAGCCTCCAGACTGGACGGCGCAAGTGTCCCCCAGTCTCTCTCTTTTTTTAAAAAAAAATATTTTTATTTTTTTCAGAGAGAAAGGGAGAAGGAGAGAGAGAAACATCAATGATGAGAGAATCATTGATCGGCTGCCTCCTGCCCACCCCATACTGGGGATCGAGCCCACAACCCAGGCATGTGCCCTTGACCGAAATCGATCCCGGGACCCTTCAGTCTGCAGGCCGACACTCTATCCACTGAGCCAAGCCAGCGAGGGCCCCAGTCTCTGGTCCCGTCCCTGGGAGCTGCCTTGGGGCCACCCCGGCTTTCTGAGCCGTCAGACAGCCCGACTCCCCGAGGCTGGCTTCAAGGCTGTCGGCTGAAGCTACTCACAGGCCTACAGACCTGCTCTGAGACGGGACGTGTCTTCTCACCGCACAGCCGCTGGGGAGGGACTCCCTCGTGCACACATTCGAGTAGTGGCCGAGCACACACTCCCTGTCCTGCTCCGCAGCCCACGCCCACAGAGGCGGCGGCGAGCACCGCGCACCTGCTGCCAGGGGTCAGG